TGCAAGGTGTACAGTCACACCCAGCAAGGATTACATTCTCACCCAGCAAGGTGTACAGTCACACCCAGCAAGGTGTGTAGTCTCGCCCTGCAAGGTTTAATTAATCCACTCATGATTATTCTTTACAGTGCCTTGTTTTTGACAAATTTCACCCTTACCATTATGATATTTTTTCCTTTCATGAAAAAACATGAACTTGTGTATCACAAGATTCTTGAGATACAGCAGATCAAAAGTATCTATTCCTTGCCTGTAGTAAGCTAATTAATTTTTACATCTGTGAATTAAAACAGATTTTGCGGTAAAACAAATTTGACCATCATTTGCATTCCATGTCAAAAAATTATAAACATCAATATTATTATTAAGTTAATGTATAGTAGGGTTTCCAGTAGGAATGAAATAGTTTTGGCTAATACTACAATGTTTTTATTAGTCTAGTTATCCTGAACATAAGAAATTGTTAACAATGAAGGCAACATCAAAAACAACAATGCCAGACTGACAAGTTATTACCCTTTAAACCTTGTATATCACTATAAGCATAGTAAAACTGGCTAGTTATTATCTTTATCAACACATTGCCTAATGAAACCTTCTATGGACATACCAAAATCAATCAATCAGAAAAATGTGTCGGCAGGCGATGTGTGAGTATTTGAGTTTTTTTAGGTGTACAGCCAATTCCAGAGCATTTATTAACAGTATGTTGTGTTTGAGATACAGACATATATATATATGCACAGACAGGAAAAACTCTATTCTTTGCTTCTCAAACTTAAGTATTAAAGATATGACATGACTGATATTGCACAAATAACATGACAATAAAACATAATGAAAAAAGACAAATACTTTGACATTATACCTTGGGAATTATGACTACTTTATGAGTCTATACATGGTCCGTGTCTGTAAAAAGTACACAATAAAAAGATGTATATGGAAAACAACCAATCTCTGATATGCACAAACTGTTACAACTAAAATATATTTTACTATTATAAAAATATGATGATTATAGACAAATTTATTAAGCTATTAAATTCATGTTTTCAGCTTGTAAGCTAGAGGAATACTTTACCAGGCAAAAAAATTTCATGAGAAAATATATGAAACAAGAATAATTTTGTACACATTGTTGTGAAAGTCCAGTTGTATGATTAAAATCCAAAACGTAATTTTAGAATTGTTTGTTGTCATATATCACCTCAA